TATATATATATATATATATATGTTTGTTCAAGTTTTATGTCAATCCAGAAGCATGTATGTGCGTCTGCTTCCCTGTGCGTATCTACCTTTTTGTTCGTGTGTACGCAGAAAAAAGACAGGAAATAAGAACAAAATGTAGTTTTCATCTTCCGTCGTCAAGATTACGCGTCTCAACAAACACTCACGGAAGCCCAACAGGCCTCCGACGATGTTCGGCCCAAGATGATGCTTACCGTAGATCCAGGAGACCGCGACGACTTGGCAGAATGCCCCAAAGATGAGGGAGATGCCGGCGGCAAATCGGTCCAACAGCGTCACCACGTACATCCCGCCCTGTGAAGGTGATTGGGATTGTAAACATGCCAACCTGTTATCAATTATGAAATATGGGCGAATGAAATGCGTGCAAGTAAATATGCACAAACAAGGCAGTCTATGGCAGAACTTAAGGGCTTAGAGGCAGTACAAATGAGGGATTCTCCCACGAGGAGTGACCAGCAGCAGAGGCTTGACGGGCAATCAAAGGTTGATGGTCCATCTGCGGCTTCAATAAAATCGGCAAAATGTCTGGTATCCCCGCTTAAGTCTGCTTGTTTACCACAATAAATGACGACGGGATCTGAAGTGAACTTCTCCCATTTCGGCCCCATTCATTCGTTGGCGACGCTACTTTTAGTAGACACTGCTTCAGAGAAAAAAAATTAATTTTACCTTTAACAGCATTTTTATGCATCCGATTTTCGATGAAAATGCAATTCATGAGACTATCTGAAATTGGTAAAGAAACACTAAACCAGCCTGACCGTGAGATGGGGAAGCTTTAGCCACGATTTCATACATTTCTCCAAAAAGCCTTCTCACAGACTGAACTGTTGTCTCGAGCTAGCCTGGGTCCCAGCACCGTTGCCAAGAGGATTTTGGATGACAACTCCTTCTGGGAGTCGAGATTGATTGCAATTCATTGGAATCCTGAGACCTATTCATTTCATCGTGGCTAAAACCCTATCTCAGACCTTAATTCAACTTAACCAGCCGAGGCTGATCAAATAATTACTGATAGTCTCATAATTTAATTCTCATTGACACATATTCGGATACAGAAAATCGCCGATAAACGGGAAATTGGTATAACTTTTTGAAGCAGTGTCTATACTATCTTTCGTATTACAGCACATGCCTGGCCTCAGAAAATGGTTATAGAATGTTGGAGTAATAATAGACGTTTATACAAATTCTGTTTTTTTATGTGGGAGCATCAGAACTGGTTTGGTTTCGTTTTCGTGCTCTCCTCCTTAGTAGTCATGACAATTTG